AAAATTCACGCTCGGCTCCGCGGTCCCTGCTATTATCAGAGGAGGGGTGTGTGTGAATCACTCCAAATAAAATTGAACAAATATGTTTAATAAATTTATGCTTGCTTAAAATACAAGTACAAGATTTGATGCAAATCATATAAAAGGWTATAAATTCAAAGCAATTATTATGAATTGACCATGCCTATTATACAAGGTGCTTGGCCAACTTGATCTATTAACTTTATCCTAAACATGGACTAGAAAATRGGGGGAGACCCATCTTGTCTTCACTGCCTGCCTTAAAACATCACATSTACGTTTGATTAGAACTAGAGCTGATGCACTTATTCTGTGAAACTTAAATAGTATAAAATAGTGCTTTTTTTGATAATTCCTTTTTTTCTACTGTTTAATCGGCACTATTGACTACTGATTGGTATTATTTGTTTCATGGATGAAGTGCATCCACTCTATCACTGTTTAAAGCAGCTTCAACAATAATGCAAAATTATAAAATAGCAAAATGATGGAATTTTACAAGTAATTCTACCTTCAAGAGTGATCGCAGTTAATCCGTGCAACTGTACAAACTAAATAGTTCTACATGTATTTGGTAAATCGTGCATGCGGTACGCAAACTAAATTGAATTGATACAAATGAAGCATTCAATACCGTCTTGCTTCAGGTCCACTTTTAGTACAAATTAATACTATTTAGATTTTGTACAGTTGCACGGATTAAGTGCGATCACTCTACCACTGAAGACTTGACAAGAGTTCTTAGTATAAGCAAGGTTAATAACATTCTGTTTGTCCATTTTTGCTTTACTGGCTAACTACCATCTCTGTATTCACATATAAAAACTCATTATGAAGCTATGTTTTTTTTTATAAAATCATCATAAAACTATTCATTGCCATAACAATGCCCTACATTATTTTAAGCACAATATTTAAAAGTATTTCATTAATAAGCTCTTATAAAAAAAAATGACTGTACATGGCTACAAAAACAAATGGGTACTAGAAATATATAAAGTATATCTATTTGATATTATTATGCGATTGAGTAGTCTCTCGTAAGACTTCCATATATAGATCTCCATATGCATGGCTCTCATGTACAAAGAAAACTGTCATGACCCTATAGAAGGTTCATTAATTATATACATGTATTCAATCTTATGTAGTGTATACATGGTTATTCAAGAATTCCGGTGCATAAATATAAAAAATCAGGTTCACCCAAGCGAATTGAACTCATGGCTATATGGTTACATGTAGGTTTACGAAAAATATAGGGTCAGGCAATGCATGGTGCTACGTAATTCGAATCTTAAAGCTTGTCCGTTTTAGTATAAGTTTAAAGTCTTTAAAATTTCTTAGTTCTTCTTCAGATAATTGGGGCATGAAAGCCTTCTATGTGTACATCAGCGCTGTGTACATGCACAACCATATATGGAAGTCGTGCGACAGATACTTGTCATCATTGCAGGATATATATTGCATGTTCTATGGATTCTTGGAAATCAAGCAAAATTATATCTACGTTTAAGAAAACAATAATGATAAAGTGAAAAAAATCTTCATAAACCTCTTTTGCTCTTTAAAAAATAAATAAAGCTGGAATATCAGCACATTTTCGAGCTTTTTACCATCCATATAATTATATGAATGATGTACATTGTGCAGCAAAGCATGATGGTAGATGTAGTCTTATAATAGACACTAGAATATCTCTCTAAAGGCTGTTTTTACATTTTCTTTGCAGAAATGGYACAACCTCTTCTATTTTTGCTTAGAAAAAGCAAAAAATTCTTAGGAGGATTGTTGTTGCAGAAAGAAAAAGTACATGTATGAGGACTACAACTACCATCATGCATTGCWGCACAAAATATCGTCACTGCACATTGCCTATAATCCAGTTTCGAATTCTCCAATGCTCTGTGTTAGCCTCATTTGTGCGCAAAACATTCCTAATTGTGAGAATAAAAGTGTGAGATTTCAAATCAATTTTATTGTTTTCTTCACAAATTCCATGCGTTTTCTCAGGCTATCAATAAAAAAGAATAAGTGACTTGGTTTTGAGGCTAACACAGAGCAAACCAGAACTCGAAATTGGAGTATTGACACTGTATTTAATCACTCAGCACTATTTGGTTAGTGTACACTCTATAAAAAAAGGCTGATTGTACAAGTTTAGCACCAGCTGTTTGCTTATGTAATAAGATAGAATCATACTAGTAGATTTGGTACTAACAACTTTTGTCAATTCAGCCAAATATGAGCGCTGTTTGAGCTTAAGCTAGACCACAAATGTTTCATTGAGAAATTCTATAATGTAATTAACATAATCAATTAATATACATCATTCATAGATCTAAGAATGTGAATCACTTCATTAGTTGTGGACGTAGCTGAGTGACTATGATCCACGTCATATAAATACCAATTTATTTTTATTTTAAGTGTTTTCTCTAAATTCTTATACTTCACATGGACATTTTCCTTCATATTGATACTTTAATTAATACTGTGAAACAATTTTTTCAAATCTGATAACATGACGTCATGAGAGGACCATTAAGACTTCTAAATTAACCATAAARYAATKAATATCTATTGGCTACTTTTGCCCRCTGTAGTSCGGATAGAAAGCTTGCTTGATTTTCAAGARCTATATCTATTGTTTGTATACTATATATACATGTACGTACTATTACTTACTTTCTAGTAAAAATATATTAGTTTGAAATCATTATAATGCTAACTAGTAAAAATATMTATTTTTGATATAATTAATCAAAATGCCTATAATATGGAAGCTACATGACAAGCAGATCTTATTTTAAGATGTTTTCATGTCACAGATGAGGTCCTTTTTTGTCATTTTTACAAAGAATGAAGTCTGTTTGGTTTGTTTGTAATTAGTAAAAAGTAAAGAATGAAACTGCCTTCATTACAGCAAAGATGCTTAACATCTTTATACTTAATAACAAGGTTGGCAACAATCTATGTTACAGTTTTCTAACTGTACAAGACATTGCAATGTCCATAGGGCATAGAAGGATGGTCTTTAGAAAAGTTCAAGTCTTGGTATTAAATATTTTGCTTGATTATATAAATTTGCTATTTTTTAAATTCATGGAAATGCTCCCCCTAGATTTCAAAAGAAGAATCTTGCAAGTTCAGAGAAGGCTTGGATTTTACCATTCAGAACCAAGAAACAGTGATTCTAACAGGGTTTATGCAGGGCATCCATTAATAAATTCAAGGATTTTTAAAAGGACTACCCAAGGACCAAAATGATTTGTTTCATGCAGCATTGAATCTTTAAAATTCCCGTACTAGGTAGGTTTTCCACTTCTACATTTTGCAAAAAAAAAAGTCATATCTTTTTTTTATCTGTTTTCATTCACTTTTCCATGTATTTTTTCAGTTTTGGTACATGTACCTTTGGGTTTGCTGCTATCTTGTTGATCTAACAAAGAAGGCTAGCTCATGTAAACATTTTCTTCAAAGAAATGTCTCTTGTGTATGACACACTGCAGCAAGACATTGATTTCTAACATGTTTCAGTTGAACGTTTCATTGAGCTGAATTTGACATTTTGTCAAATAGTTTTCAGGGACATTTCTCCAATTTTTCATTTTTTCAAGGGTTTAGGTAAATGCCCTTTGAAAGAAACCCTTTGAAAATGTAGCACTTTTCAAGGATTTCAATGAGGGACCTCCCTGCATTAGCCTTTAAGTCTTATTATAAAAGTGATTCTTTTATCAATTGCACAAGATAATAAAACTTATAACTGCTAAACATGATAGCCTAAAGTCACTAAGTTTACACAGGAATTTTACAAGTGTTTTTGGTGGATGCAATATAACCATTTACCTTTTGCTGACTAGTAGAACATGTACAAAAAGGATTTAAAAGTTTGGGATCAACTAACACCTCCCCGCACGGGCCCTTGAAGATCATACCACAGCATATTTCYTCCTGTCTCCATAGTGATAGGTCTATATATGGCAACTTGTTTGATGCTGGTGATTTTAATGCRGGAAACAAGAATGACGTTTGACATGCAGTTGAGGAGGTGGTCTTGGTTGAAGARTTRTAGGAWCCTGATTCATCTGATGTGTCACTAGGGGGAGGGCTTGGAGAAACACATGCTAATGACGGAGGRGATGGACAGTCAATTTCGTCTTCTATGTTATCTGAATGTGAAAACAAAGTGTACATGTACACTGAGTAAGAGATGTACAGGATATTTCTGAAAATAGTAAGATAATTTATTGCAGCATAATGATTTTGCTTTTCAAGATAGTATATATATTTTAATATTTTTCAATAACAAAGTTTTTGCCTTGCTTGGAAAAGCTGGAGAACCAAATCATGAATCAAGGAACAAATCCATAAATTAATAAAATTTATAATACTCCAGTTTCGAATTGATAGCGAAAAACCGCTGCTTTATTTGACTACAGATTCTCTTGCGCAAAGACCTGACCAAACACAAAAGGGAGCACGATTACAATAGCCTTAAAAATTTGCATTTTCCCCRAGTTGAGASTATAACCCTGTATTCCCATAAGACTTAAGGTATGGCTCTTCTGGGAATACAGGGTTAGCCTAAACTCGGGTAAAATGTAAATTGTTAGCGCTATTGTATGTACAACATTTTCACATGCTTTCTTTTGTGTTTGGTAAGTTCTTTGCGTAAGAGAATCTGCTGTCAAATAAAACAGCGATTGGTCGCTTAGAATTCGAAAATGGAGTATTCCCCTGCTAGTACATGAAAAGCTGATTTGCGAATTTTGCTTCAGTAGTCAAACACAAAAGAATCAAGATGAGGCACCATGCGTAAAACTCAGTCAATTGTTAAAAACTATTGTTGTTTCACRAATGACTGAGCTTTATGCACTGTACCTTGTCTTGATTCTGTATGTGACTACTGAGGCAAAATTCGCAAGTCGGCTATTGCAAAGTTTGTTTGGAGAAACATGGCAAATGAATTGACACCTGGGGRAGTGATGATATGCTTTGCACAGAAACCTTGGTGCGCATACTTTTTCACATAACAATTATTTTAAACTGTTTTTTCTTTCTTTCAGTTTTAAAACATCATTCTTTAATTTATGAAAGTCATTTTAAGATCTTAATTATGTGATAGACTGGGATTTCTCATTTCCTTACCCAACAAAGAAGGAAAAAAATATATGGGGGAGATTTAGAACTATTAATCATGAAGTGTCTGTGTGTCAKTAACATCTGTGGTGTCTGAACACATTTCAAGACGTCTACAAAATTTCCAAATTTGTATGCCTAAAAGAATATCAAAATGCCATTAAATATAAATACGACTTAAAAATAAGGTAACACTATAAAATATAAATTATTTACTATGTTTTGAAATTTGACTTTTTTACCACAAATTGGCATTGACCACACTGTTTCCTCTACGGAAAATAAACATTATAAAACTTACAAAACACGCAAAATCTGCACGAAAATCTTAAAACTTAAAAACGGAACGTTCCGAGGTATTACAGACTACTAACTGTGTGTAATTACCAGGCGATTTCCACTTGAAATGTCCAAACCTGATCGGAAAAGGGCAAGCTAACGATCAAAGAGGTTCTTGTTGAATGCGTCGCTAACAATAGAATTTCTTCGCGATAGAGTGACATTTCGTCAAATAAAACTACAGAATCTCAATGACATCCAGATAAAGCAATCCAAAACGTTATAACAACTTGTTGTTAACATTATCAAAGCACGATCAAAGCTTCTAAAGATGAGGGAATGAAATAAACAAGTTCTRGAAGCTTTAATCAGGGGAAAGTTCTGAACAGTGCGCTTGCACGCTTTCCTTTCAATTCAAAGGCATTCTTTTGGAAATGTTCATGGACAAAGCACGCGAGCATGACCATTCAAATATAGAAAACTTTTCGCGGGGTTGACACTTGKTTTTACAATAGTTAWWTWRAAAAAGCATGAGTTTATCATTGATTAAAATGTAAGTTTATGWTGATTTACCATTGACGTCCACTGAGTTGCCTTCGCTTTTGACACTTGTTGAATCCAAATCCCTATCAATAGATTTACGGCCTCTAGTCTCTAATGTTGAACTTCTTGAAGCTCTTCTTGGACGCACCGTTCTTTTGACACTAGCTTTACTATCAACAACCTTCAAATTGAATGGAATGACTTTTAAAACTTCAAGAAATTACAGCGTCTAATGCTCAAAAGAGCGCGCGACCTAAAGTTTTCATTCAAGAGTTCTTCTTCCACGCGCTTGACATCCGTACTTACATGCTTCCAATTCTTCGTACTTCCTTGAGGTAGCTTACTCCATCTTTTAACCAACAACACACAAGCATTACATATCTCTCCCTGGCGCTTTTCATTCACAACGAAGCAGCCTTCGAAGTGTTGTTCATACTTTGCCGAGGACGTGAACCTGGAGCTGGATGATTTTGCACCACAAATGCAGCACCCGAGTCTCGATCGGTATATCTTCGGACGGTGCGTAGAGAACATCGTATAATGAAGGAGTTCAAGAAGTTGTTAATGTGGATGACGAGTTTTATGGTGACTTTCTGCGGCAGTTTTCGAGACTCTTTACCTGTAGAACCCCTGGCTAAAGAATAGATTTCTTACAGGGTTCTTTGTTTTCGTGCGGAGCAATAACAGCGCATGCGCACAGTGTTGATAAATTAGATGAGGCTAATAGATGAAAGATGCTTGGCTGGAAGGCTGGCTGGACACCATCAACTGACATGCGGTCGAATCGTAAAATTTACTAAAGCTCTTTTGAAAACATTTAGAAAAAAATTGAAAACCATCAAATCATTTTAACATCAGGGAGGGGTAAGAGGGGGGATATTTGCTTACTCCAGCTGCTTATATATATTCCATATGAGGCACTGTCTCCATCCACAAGCAGGCTTATTTCACTCAATTTCTATACACACAGGCTTATTTATGGTGGGATTAATTGGGAGACTGAAGGATACATGTGTTTGAATTGGTCTAAATTGATCTAATCAGACGAACAATATTTTGCAACCTTCAAGAATTATTAAAAAAGTCTATTAATAACCCGGGGGGGGGGGCACTCCCATATATTTGCTATACGGGGACGTGCCGCTGGCCAGGGTATGGTTTTTGGCCTTGCTGTCTTAAACAGGGTATACATTCACCCGAAATTGTCTTAAACAGGCTCGACAATTTAGATAAAAGACCGATATATTTTTTTTGTGTGTCTTAGACAGGGTAATATTTTCATAAGAAATACCGTAGAAATAATAAAAATACCGTTTCACTGTCCCACTGTTATCAAAAATTTCTTAATATTGTCTTTGATTGATGGATGTCAGTATAATTGCACTTTCGATGGTTGCGGCGCAGATTGCTATTCCTTATTTTTCCGATTTGTCTTGAACAGTGTAAGGATTTTCACTTTCTAGCATCTTAAACAGGGTCAGGGATTTAGACCGCTGGCAGCACGTACCTATCCAAAATGGGGTCGAGTACCCCCCCCCCCCCCCCCCCCGGGATTAATAACAACGCCAGCCAGGGATTTGCCCATAAGCCCTCCTGCATTGAGTTTTACTGACTTCTGTGCCTGTGTATTAGGTGTNCGACCTAAAGTTTTCATTCAAGAGTTCTTCTTCCACGCGCTTGACATCCGTACTTACATGCTTCCAATTCTTCGTACTTCCTTGAGGTAGCTTACTCCATCTTTTAACCAACAACACACAAGCATTACATATCTCTCCCTGGCGCTTTTCATTCACAACGAAGCAGCCTTCGAAGTGTTGTTCATACTTTGCCGAGGACGTGAACCTGGAGCTGGATGATTTTGCACCACAAATGCAGCACCCGAGTCTCGATCGGTATATCTTCGGACGGTGCGTAGAGAACATCGTATAATGAAGGAGTTCAAGAAGTTGTTAATGTGGATGAAGAGTTTTACGGTGACTTTCTGCGGCAGTTTTCGAGACTCTTTACCTGTAGAACCCCTGGCTAAAGAATAGATTTCTTACAGGGTTCTTTGTTTTCGTGCGGAGCAATAACAGCGCATGCGCACAGTGTTGATAAATTAGATGGATGAAAGATGCTTGGCTGGATGGCTGGCTGGACACCATCAACTGACATGCGGTTGAATCGTAAAATTTACTAAAGCTCTTTTGAAAACATTTAGAAAAAAATTGAAAAACATCAAATCATTTTAACATCAGGGAGGGGTAAGAGGGGGGATATTTGCTTACTCCAGCTGCTTATACCCATATGAGGCACTGTCTCCATCGACAAGCAGGCTTATTTCACTCATTTCTATACACACAGGCTTATTTATGATGGGATTAATTGGGAGACTGAGGGATACATGTGTTTGAATTGGTCTAAATTGACCGCATCAGACGAACAATTTTGCAACCTTCAAGAATTGTTAAAAAAAGTCTATTAATAAGAACGCCAGCCAGGGATTTGCCCATAAGCCCTCCTGCATTGAGTTTTACTGACTTCTGTGCCTGTGTATTAGGTGTGTTGGGCTCCATCCCCATTATTAGTTTATCAGCCTATGTGGTTCAAACATGTTAGCCAATCAGGGCTACACTGTATGGTATGCCAAGGAGCACATCAAACTAGTGAGTACAGGGGTGCTTATGCCCCAATCCCCCTTCCCGTGGGACCTTGAATMCTTAGATACTTCCTACTTTTTGGTTAACCATACACCTGTATTTTTGTCAATATGCACCCCCTCCTTAAAGACCCTACACCCCCTATATCAAGTCCTGGCTCTGCTCCTTTAGCCACTAGTAAAGATATAGCTACATGATAGCCTAACTTGAGTAGTTCTCAAAAAGATCACAATGCCTTGCCTTCTGGACAACTAGAGACAGGCTGTATAGAGAAATATTCCCTTATTGAAAGACAAGCTTTGTCTGATATGGAAAATACATCAGCAGGATAATTCAGATTTCTTAGGGCTGCAGACTAGAATCAAACCAATGCAATWTCTGATACTAGTTGGATAATACTGAATGGATGGTGTCGAGTAAGATTGCCATAGYTTGCTTCATAGTTCCCTCATGGTCCATCTTGAAATGTAACAATGCCTTTGCATTGAAGCAAGGCAATTGGTGAGTGTGTATTGATAGCTACCTAGAATTTGATGGGTTCATAGTAATGGTACCACTAAGGCGTGATTAAAGAGGAGTTCCTCGACCTAGACTATTACAACAATTTGGCAGTCACAACTACTTATGACATTACAGATAAACTGTTTGCATTCTATTCTTTGCTCTTTGTTCACATCACAGCARCCATCTTGGAGGAACTTTAATAAAGGATTTCTCATTAGTATCTATTGTTCATTCCTCTAAAATAGCCGCTGGTCTTTTATCTTTTGAATCTCATAAGAATCTGGGTGAAACGATTAATAGTAAGAGGAACTCATAACTGTTGAAAGTGTTAATAAGTTTTAATTCAGCCCTGTCACACAACACTACAGATATAAATGATCCTACTTTCTTTCTGAGAACGAAATAATTTCAGCAGTCAAGACTAAATCTAAACATTTTAAATCGTATGAGGAAGTAGCTGATCTAAACATTTTTATATTATTTTGCTTTTGTCATGGCTAAAAAAATAATTACATTTATCATTACTAATAGTAATTGTCAAAAGCAATAAGAGTTGAGGTTTTCCTCTGTTGATAATATTAATTGCTTTTAATTGCTTTTAACAGTTACATATAGAAACAACTGATAGTTTAATTCATTAAAGAGAATGAATAATAAAATTAATGYAGCAAAACCAAAAGAATTTGTAGATATTATTTCAATAAAGAAATTGAGATGCATCTAGGAATCATTCTCTTGATATACTTTTATCACTCTTTCAATGAGCTAGTATCAATTGAGTAAGGCAGACATGACAACATACACACAGTTTCCCAAGTCTGCATAGAAGCACAGAATTATAATATATGTTTTATCAAAAGACTACATGTAAATGTTTAAATTAAGGACTTTGATTKATTAATTATCCAAATTCTAAATTCTCACTGAAAAATGTATAAATCGAGAGAGATTTCAGAAGCCTCTAACAACTAATTTGTCCTGGTAGCTTCTCCACTTAAATTAATCTTTAGTTATGTCTTGGACAATGTATATAATTATGCATTTGAAACTATAGATGAATTCTTTTAAAAGGCAGGTTCACGCTGGCAATTTGTGCTGTGATTTCAAGGATGATTTTTCAAGCAATTTTCAAATACCGGTATATATAAATACAAATGTGGACCAGTTTCATAAGTAGTGTCTACCATCAATTTCATATCATGGACAAAACTATAGATCTATCAAAAATAGGCATTTGTTGAAAGTTTTAAAGCTATTGACTAAAAACTACTTAACAAAGTTATGGAGGAATAAAAATACAAGGATTTGTATAAAATTCTTTGCTAAGGCCTTGGCAGCCTCGTTTTGGTGTTTTTTTGCATCTTCTAACCCTTATAACTTCAAGAGGATTTAAGATTTTTCTTTGAAACTTTCAAAACTTATCTTCAGCTTTGATATGTACCATCAGAGTGTTCTTTTGTCAACAATATGAATTTAACGATAATATGCTAATTAGTCTCTGCCATTATGGAAGTCATCAATAGATTGTCTTATCCTTGTAAAAAGGTGTCTAGTTAACTGATTTCAGTGCACTGAATGAAACTTTAAAAAACGTTCCTAACATTTATCACCAGGACCAAAAAAGACCACAAAAACCACCTTAAAATTGCCACAAAAAACTCCAGTGTAAACARGCCTTTATACAATATCACAGGGAGACCAGGATGCCATTAAATCCTCCCCCCTCAAGTAAGTCAAGAACATACAAAAAATAAAGCAATCTTACTAGAAGGGGATGAAGGGCTATTGCAACTTCACATTCAATTTTTAATCTTAAGAATTTGAAAGGTCTTTGAATGCTAAGTTCTTAATTTGTAATGAGGTTATGTAGTAATAAAAATATACATTTATAAACATCTACAGAAGAGTACATTTGCCCTTGCCCTTTGCCTTCTTGGGAGGTGCTTCTGTAGCTACAGTGAATTGTCTGTCAGGAGAAAAAACAAAATTATAAACAACAGTGTCAAAAAMSSYTTTTGGCYTTTTTCACTAATATTGTTACTGAACCATTTTTTATGGCCTGCTTTTTGCTTTACAGCATGCTGACAGTGCTTAGGCAAASGGAAAMATTGGCATAAACAGGAACAGTAAGAATSTTCAACAACAAGTTGAGAGGCTTTGTGGCTTGGATAATGATCATTAAAACATCTGTTTAAGACATGAATAGTTCAATARCTGCATGTAGGCTACACATGTACAYGAAAGTTGAAAGTGTAACAAGATACAACTTTAAGGAGATTAGAATTAGCAATAACAACTAATGAGCAAAAATGTCTACCTTATGTCACGAACAAGATCATGAAATGCTTGATCAACGTTGGTTCTTTGTTTTGCACTAGTTTCAAGATATGAAATCTGAAAAAAATACAATTTTTTWAAATATCAAACTTAACAAATGAACAATCACAGAAGTATGAAAGCTTCATATTAAATTTACCCTAAATTTCAGTCAATTGGTCAAGGTATTCTGCTGCTATGGGAATTAGATGCATCATTGTCATGACGACGGTGAAGTAGAATGACTTACTTTAAGTTGTCTAGCTAATTCTTGTCCTTCTGCTGTAGAAACTGTTCTTTCGTATTCAAGATCTGACTTATTTCCAGCTATAATCATTGGGAATTCAGACCTTGAAACAGAAAATACAACATAATGTATAAAAATGAGAACATAATGACAACAATGTCAGGAACATACAAAGCATCACAGACCTTTGCACAATTTTACCACGTGACTAATGAAAAATTAGAAATAAACTGTCAACAAGAGATCTTTTACATAACAAACATTTGCAAAGATGCACATAGGCCTTTAAAGACAACAGCAGATGACTTGATMAAGCTCACTTTCTTGTACGATTTTTTGCAATAAGGAAAATGCATGATATACAAACCTGTCTTTTACTCTTAGAATTTGATTATAGAATTTATTTATTTCATCAAAGCTGGAAAGAAAAAGMGAAGAAATTTTAGTTGAATGAAGGCCATCAGTGAGGGCAAACAAGAAGTTGTACTTATTAGTGGTATCTATTGATAAGACCCACAAGTAAAGTGGATATCAATAGAATGATATAATACTGCTACAGTAGGCCATAATATTGGTCATTAGTCATGTAAGAGCATCAATCAAATAAATTATGAGCTAACACACTTTAAATATCTMAATAAGACTGCATTGTTGACACAAAAGCCTTTGCTAGCATTAAAATATGTGTTTATCAAAACACTACACCATATGTGTACATACTTTAATTTGGTCTTTAAGGATTGAGGCTCAGAATATACTAGTCATTTTGCATTGTCAGTTATCTGACTTTAATCAAATGCATTACACAAGAATCTTACTTACCTTGATCGATCTGTTACTGAAAAGACTAAAAGAAATCCTTCTCCACTTCTCATGTACTGTTCTCTCATTGCACTAAATTCCTTTAAAAGAACATAAACAGCTTGTTATACATACATACAACAATACATAAAAGATAGTGTAGTGGTAGGAGTTAAGATTCGTTTATAARGGATTGTTGGATAACACCATGATAGTTCACTTCAAAATTGTATGTCAATGTGAACACAMTCACAAGAACCAATTTTAGCACACCAAAACACTATTGCATCACAAAACTACCTAAATACAGTGTACATATAATTATAACAAGTCCCAGTCGGCCCTGACCCAACCCAGGGACCAGGGAGTGTCATTCATTCCATTGACTTTGGAAAAGTGTCATTAATTTTTTTCCTTGACTTTTGAAATACAGTTGMATCTCCTGAAAGCAGACATCCTTGGGAAACAGAAAAAGTRTCCAYWAGTAGAGATGTCCGCCTGTGAACACAGTGTTTACATGTATATAGAAGATAAAATCAGGTTTTGGAAAGTTGTCTGTAATTAG